CAGCAAAGATAGAGAAATATAAATATATCAAAATGAAAGAAAAAACTGTATAGGCACACAGGCTACCAATCACATAACAGAGGAAGTGACTATAAAAGGCCTGTGTCTCCCACAATCCCCCTCTTTCTTGCGAACCGAAGACCAGGAAACATGAATCGACATCGCACACCGGTAAGAACAGGAAACAGCAACAAACCAAACTTCAAGCTACAAAAGAGAGAGAAATATGGTAAAATCCAAACTTCAAACTGAAACTCACCAAATAAATTCGTCAGGAGCAGTCTAGGAACTCAAACCTAGAATATAAAAAATTACCATTAGTACCAAACCATGGAAAATTGAAACTTCTTCAGTAAATATACACAATAAACAGGCTGGATTGCAACATACCTGAAAGTCCAACAGCATCTCATCCCAAAACCCAAAACCGGGAGGGTGGGTGGGAATAATACTCGCCTCTGTGTCTTTAATAAAATCATGACTTTACGTCATGTTAATAGTAAAATCTGGGAATTTTATTAAAGACACTGAGGCTCCTATTATGCAAGTTCAAAGCTGAGCCACCATATGAAATGCAATGTGATCAATCGGCCTGAAATAGAAAATCACGAAACTCGACACTTGCCACCGGTATCCTCCAAACGACAACCGCCCTCCAAGGCCCTGGACGTCATACCTCCATGTACCAAGTGGGATGCAACAAACGACATGTCGATACCAGCCAAGATAGTAGTCATTAAACCCATCGCGCCAATGTAGGAGAGGACACTGATAGGTGGGGAGCGTCGAAAGAAAAGAACAAAGAGCACGGTCCGGAGAATGTAGTGGCTGCGTAACCCCCAGGTAAGTCTTCAGACACCCCACCGGCCATAGCGTCAAAAACGTCCTGAACGTAGGGTAGAAATTCCAGCTCCAGGTGGCCTAGCAAGGTGAATCCTCTACATAGATGACCTATGAAGGATGTCGACCGACTAGGAAAAATCCCAAAATCCAATGTCGAGGGTTAGATACGGAAACCAGTGTTAGTCCCACGCATCAACTGGACCACACTTGTCATGGTGACCGGAGGCTGATATATTACCCGGCATCCATGTGTTACAGAGTAGACGGGGAGTTGATCGCGGAACGTCCAAGATAATCCAAGTGCCCCGAAAGGAGTCACGTCATCCGGGGTAGAAGGGTTCCGAACGCTTGGAATCAAACCTGGGCAAACTATATAAAATTATGATATGTATATTTTATCATTGTCTGTAAATAGCAAAGTATTGTAAAATTGCATATGGTGAAAAATCCTAATCTAGGGAAAATAACAAACAAATAGGGATCTAGAGCTTCTTGAAAATTATAATTGAGCAATGTGAAAAATTAACCTGTGGTGCATAAGACCATCATCAGCGTTAGGATAGTGTACATTATCCATTAAGGTGTGCTAGTAAACTTTTATAATTAGTTTGCCTAAAACATGAAAAAAAAAAGTCATTGTTGTCTAGCTACTAGTAGCGTCATTTACAATAACTTTCAGTAGGCGATAGCATTGATCCTAGTGAGAGCCTGGCTAGGTTACTGCTGAAACCACTGCCAATGGTACACCTACACCAAGTTCTTTTTTTTTTTTTTTACTTATTTGTGTTTTTTCTTAATTTCTTCTGAGATACAGATTATTTAGTTTTCACTTTTCTTTGATGTGCTTCAGTGCCTCTACTAAATATTGCATGTTTTATTTTTGACTCTTTGAAGTAAGAAAATCCTTTTCTTTAAGTATATAATAAAAACAAACCTACCATAATCATGATGCATCCTAGACATGTAGGGTGGGAAAAAAATCTGTTAAATCTTATAAAACACTTGGCATACTACTGTTTTGTTTTTTTTTCATGAAAAAATATTTGGTTTATGTCGCTGTTTGGCTCAGCCAAATTTTACTACTGAAATAAAATTCAGGAAAGTAATTTGGGAAGCCGCAAAAGCAGAAAAAATGGTGCCTATGACTGTGCAATATCAGGCATTTTTGCAATGCCAATTTCGATTATTATATATCTGGATTAAAATAAAAAATAGAAAGTGAGAGAACTTTCACTATCTTGGAATCAAAAAAGCACAAAAGTAATTATAAAATATACAATTATTATTAAAAAGAGTCCTTTTATCTTTAATACACCGAAGCAGAGATAGACTTTTTAGATTTAGTGCTCTATGTAGAACAAGGCGTTTTAAAGACTAAAATATTTTTCAAACAAAAGTGTGGATGTAAACAGTTCCAGAGGATTAAGAAAAACTGCTCAGATGGAGCAGTATGCCAAGCACAAATAGAAAAAGTAAAAAAAAGCAATTTGAAGAGAAAAAATATGATATAGAACTTCTTAATAGATCAGTACAAAAAGTAATTAGTCTGGACAGATAACAACTATTACTACCAAGTGACAAAATAAACATCTGACAAGAATTTTAATTGTCCTCTCATACTTAATTACAGCTCACAATCCACACAACTAAAAATAACTAAAAAAAAAGTTGAGTAGATCTATGCGATGGAGTCTCTCACGGCAGAACTACGAGGTTCGCTGTACCCGTCTATGGGCCCCTTGGATAGAATACGTAGCCCGCTGGACGGGGGAGCGGACTGCATGGGGGACGCGGGCCCAGCTGGGAGACACGACGCACCCGAGACCAGAGGGTGAAGCTATGTAGGGATGGATAAGGCACCCGACAACCCTGACATAGACTTTCCTCCACCCTGCCCCCACCCCTCTCTTTTTTTTTTTTTTTGTTTACCTCTCTTCTCCTCCCTCTCCCCTCTACTTCTCCTCCCCATTTTTTTCTGTGCCTTCAGCCTGGTACCCTCAGATGGGCCGTTGACTGAAGATGAACAGCTGACACAGCATTATACACTTACCTTACACAAACAATGTGTCACTCAGCTACTGGGACCGCAACCACCTACATACCAGAGTCATAACCAATAGAGTTTGCGAAAAACCTCACATGGAACACTACTCCCGAGTGATACACACTGTCTCCACTTGGGACCATAAAGTAAGCTGAGAGGAGGGTGTGCGGGAGCCATGGGGAACGTACACTGCTACACGTGGGCGTCACACTGCTACAAGTGGTTACGCTCCACCAACTGTGACATGCCACCTGCACGCAAGACTACTCTCAGTGCAGTAAGAGCAGCTGGGGTACACGCTAGGGAACGCTCATGCACAGATGGGTGGGCCTCAACCTGGTATGCACTCCAACACTGTAGTGGTGCATACTTCTTACAAATAGCTACGGTGACCTAAATGTATGATTCCACTGTATGCACAACACCGTGTTCAACAGCATTCTCATGTTACTGCTCTGCTTTCCCTTGTAATACCTTTCTGAAAATCAAACTAAAGATTGTCCCACAGAAAGAAGACTCTTTTTATACATATCTTTTAATGATCGTTTAAATACTGTAGTGGTATTTTTATTTTTCCATATTTATTTTTTCATACTAACAACATATTTCTCCCCCATTCCTTAATCATACAAAGAATTTGATTATATTATGATTCTTATATCTATTTATGAATGTTTTAATATTGTAGTGGGATCTCTTTTTATTTTGTTTTTTATACTGATTTTTTATACCGTTGTTCAAGTTGTATTTTTCTTCTGTAATATGTGACATTGTATCTATATTATGTATACTCCGCTGAATGTATTCTGAGCTATAATTTTCACCTTGTATAAAGTCCATCGATGTGGACAGTCTAATTCCATATCGAGAATTATAACAACTTTCCGTGTAAAATACATTACGAGGGTGGCCGACCGTCGGAGGAAATGGCTGCATGCTAACTCGGCTCCATTGAAGCAGGCAATAAAACAGGCTGAAAACTGAGCGCTAACGAAAATGGGGAACCCCAAAAGGTCACAGAGCATCCATGCAAGCAGCGGGAAAGCACCCACAGAGAAACCGGGCTCGGTTTCTAAGCTCTTCAAGGACTATTCCGGCCGCATGGCGGAACATGGCGGGACAAAAATGGCGCCGATGGCGGGAGAACACCTCTCCAATCCACCGAGCCCTGCTGCCTCCTAAACATCAGCAGTATCTGGAGACCAAGACATAAAGGAGCTGCTTAGAAATCTGCCCTCCAAGGCAGACCTAACTGCAATGCTGGAGAAATTTGAAACTTCCTTCCAGCGCAAGATGGAGGGATTGGGATCTGAAATCCAGCAGGTAGGCCTCCGTGTCCAAGACCTGGAGGAAAATAGAGGACAGGTACAGACCCAACTAAACACCCTGTCAGACCGTTTAGACGCCCACGAAATGCAAATGTCACAGCTACAAAGATCGCTAGATGACATTGACAACAGGGGGCGCAGAAACAACCTCAGAATCACGGGCCTACCCAAAACTGAGGCTGAAGACTTACAAGCATCACTGCAAGAATTATTTAACTTACTATTAGAGCAACCAGCATCAACACCGATCAGCTTTGACAGGGCACACGATCACTCAGACCTAAAAGCAACAACGGGACACCCCTAGGGACGTCATACACTACTTCACAGACAAGGACCGCATACTTAAGAAACTAAGGGACACCAATCCACCATTGCTGTTCCATGGGCACGAGCTCCAAATCTATCAAGATCTCTCGTGGCTCACTCTCCAAGCACAGCGGCACCTAAAACCAATCACAGACCAACTGCGTGCTAGAAACATCAGGTACAGATGGGGTTTCCCCCTAGCCCTTATTGTTACGCTCAAAGGGACTAATCACATCATAGCTGAACATAGAGACATGACCCCATTCATAAGAGCACTGAAACTTGCAGAGGTACGCATTATGGACTGGTATGCGATGGACCCAGCAAAGACCTTTCACCGACACACGAGGGAACAACAGAGACGCTCACCGCCCAAGAGGCAGAGGACAGACTCAACAAGCCACAGAAGGGGTGAAGACCACCTACCCGCTCAGCGGACATGAAGGAACCACAACACGCGCTAGGACTTTCCAGGGATGTTATACCGCAAACCTCGTACCCCAAAACTAAAAGAACTGACTCAAACCGTGAACTATAGCAGGCCCCTGGCACACTACACCAGGCTCCAGCCACCTCACTCCTACACCTTCCCACCTCACACCAGAGAGACACAACAGCGAAGAGTAATTCGCAGACAGAGCTACAGAGGACGTACAGAAAGATCGAGCTGGGCCTGATACCAAGACATTTACCCACATGCCACTCCTCGGAGACTTGCATGGACCAGGTTGTATACTCATATTATTGCTGTTGGCTTATGATGTATTATTGTACGTTGACCGTAGTACCACAAGCTGACCAAGGTTACCTGACTACACGAAGTAAGCAGTGGGACAGTGGTTGACCATTGCCACTGCACTCACACTGGGCCACACTCAGAGGTACAAAAAAAAACTATTTTATGCTTGGAAAACCACTCCACCCTGGAACCTGGCTCCTTCCCTTCCCCCATGCCACAGCACATTACACAACACCTAAACTCAAGCTCAAGCATCGACTGAACATACCAAACACAAGTGCCTGCTTGCCCACCAACACATGCACGCCGTACACCAACACTACAGCACATACACCTCCACAGTCAGACAGGCTGCAACACTACTAATGCACCTCACTGAGGACCCAGCATTACACCTACACCACCACAAATAACATGATTCAGAATTCCTGTACATAGTTAACTCCGGAAACATAGATTATGCAGACAGGGGATACCCACGCCCCCTTGACATCTCTGGCAGAGTGTAAGACCAGAGTTTTTGTTCATATTTATTTATATTTGTTTATGTTTATAATTATTTTCTGACTATTAACGCTGCCTTCTCCTTTTGCTGAAAAGGTCCACTACCAAATGTTATAGCAGAGAAGGTTGCCCCACGAAAACACATTGGCAGCGTCCCGCGACCCAGACAGAGGTGTCCCACCAGTAAAGAGAGGGAATCAGCTCACACGACGAAGTAGGTGTCCACACAAACCCATAACTACACCCATAGTGTCCCAACCATAAATGGCCTTAAAAATCTTTCCCTCAACACCAAGGGACTAACCACCCCAAATAAGCGCAGGCTACTGTTAAGAGACCTGAAATCACGCAAAACCGACATTGCCCTTATACAAGAGACCCACATCCCTAAGACAGTGTCAATAAATCTGAAAGATAGACAATTCCCCCAGATCCACGAAGCAAGAGCGTTACACAAACGCGCGGGAGTGGCAATATTAGTACACAAACATTGCCCACTCCAAGTGACAGGGATACAAGCTGGCCCAGAGGGCCACTATATCGCCATATCAGGCACGATACACAGCACAAAAATTAGGATCATCAATGTGTATGCCCCCAACGTCCCAGCCCCAACATACTGGGACGACCTCACGACAATAATCAACGCAGACGGGGGAGGGATAACATTAGTGGGGGGCGACTTTAACGCTGTATCAATACCAGCCATTGACCGAAGCACGAAAACAGGCTCACCTAGGTTCCATTGGAGAGGGGCACAAGATAAATAATTGCACACGTTCCTTACCAACACACAGTTCCTTGACGCCTGGAGGCTCCAGCATCCAGACACACGTGACTATACGTTCTATTCAGCAGCCCACAGCACATACTCGAGAATCAACCACATATTCCTAAATGGGGTAGGGATGTCCAAACTCGCACACACCGAGATAGGCAGCATTACTTGGTCGGACCATGCGGATATATCAATCACATTAGATAAACTCAAATACTCAGCCACATAACACAAGCTTACTAAATAGCAACACAATATGTGAAGACATGCGCACTCTCATTAAAGAATATTTCACACAAAACACCACGCCAGAGGTAGACCCCATAGCGATTTGGACAGCCCACAAAGAGGTCCTGAGAGGCCACTTCATAAAAGTGGCAACGCATAAAAAGAAAAGCAACACCCGAGCACTAATAGAATTTCAGAAGGCCCTGAGAAAAGCAGAACATCAGCACAAACAGAACCCCACAGCTGCAAAATTAGACGAACTCAGGGGGATCCTGCTAGAGGGGGTCGCGCACTCCATCCCGAGATCTAGGCGATTGTTCTACGAAAAGTCCAACAAAATGGACTCCCTGTTAGCCAGAGCGCTACACCCCCGGGGGGACCACAAACCCATCACAAAACTACTGTCACGGTAGTTTACCCCTACACGCAAGATTTAGTTCAACAATCGACAGATAGAGCAGATACGACTTACCGGACCTTAGAATGGCCGGACTCGCCGTATAGCAGAGAATAGACAGAGTCAAGAACAAGCCGAGGTCAAGGGAACAAAGAGACAGCGAGAACAAAAACTAGCCAAGGTCTGGTACACAGTAGTCAGTAAGCCAGCAAACAAGACAAAACAGTGCTAGAGAGATAAACAGAGTCAGATACAAAGCCAAGGTCAAGTACGAAAATCACAACTGAACACAACAAGCGCTAAAGGGAACTGAAACAGAAACCAGGGCAGGGAGTTAAGGGGGATCCTGAAATTCTATTAGTGCTCGGGTGTTGCTTTTCTTTTTATGCGTTGCCACTTTTATGAAGTGGCCTCTCAGGACCTCTTTGTGGGCTGTCCAAATCGCTATGGGGTCTACCTCTGGCGTGGTGACCCTAAACTTTACTTTGATTGGCCCCTGTCATATCCACGCCCCCAAAATGTGGGTGTCTGGGGAATGTGGGATGACAGGGGCCAATGGGAGCACATTTCATCTTTTGGCTCCCGCTGCCCCTTTAAGAGCGTGCCCGAGACGCGCGGCACGCTCTTAGAGCTAGGCGGGACACGTGACCGTATCTCGCGGTCCATGCCCGCCTTCAATCGAGAGCCGCACACGGCGGTAAGTGAGGACCTCGGCTGGCCCCCGGGTAAGGTAAGTACCGCTACAACTACGCACGAACACCCAGGAACTAGCAACGACTCCCCGAGACGTAAATAGAGTATTTACAGAGTTCTACGCGAAACTCTACGGCCAAGCCCAACACTCACAGAATGCGCCGGAGCAACCACGGACCTCACTTCACACCTTCCTAGCTAGCATAAAACTACCTGAAATAACAGAGGAAGACACCACAAACTTACAAGAACCAATCTCCCAATTAGAAGTAGAAACAGCTATAGCGGTCCTGAAAGGGAACAAAACCCCAGGCCCCGACGGCTACGAGATAGGGTATTAAAAGAAATTCAAGGAGGAACTGGCCCCCCACCTCACCTCCCTATACAACCACTTTATGACAGGAGTAGTGCCAGGTACAGACATGGCATTGGCAAACATCACACTCATTCCAAAACCGGGAAAAGACACTGAACTAGCGGCAAATTACAGACCCATCTCCCTGATCAACTCGGACCTTAAAATTTATGCTGAGATTCTAGCGACCAGGTTGGCACCTATGCTTACACGCCTAATCCACCCAGACCAGGTGGGGCTCATCCCCGGTAGGCAATTTTATGAAAACACATGCAGGGGAGCAGTACTAACATGGTATATGCAGAAATCAAAAGTGCCCTCACTGGCCATCTCCCTGGACACGGAAAAGGCATTTGACAGAGTGCAATGGCCATACTTGTTTAGCCTGTTAGAAGAGTGGGGCTTCCCAGAAGCCTACACCCAAGCCATACGTGCTCTATATACCAACCTGAGAGCCCAAACCCTAATTGCAAGAGCCCCCAAGACCCCTTTCCCCTTATCTAATGGAACACGTCAGGGCTGCCCATTGTCGCCACTACTATTCGCCATATCCCTAGAACCGCTGTTACAGGCCATATGCCAACACACACACATACAGGGAATTAGAGTAGTGAGGAAAACCTTCAAAGTATCTGCATATGCAGATGACGTGCTACTGACTCTCAAAGACCCCCTGACCTCTATGGACCACTTGAAGAGCCTCTTGGACACATACGGAGCCCTGTCGGGATATAGGGTAAACCTCACTAAATCCATGGCACTACCATTTCACCTCCCAGCCCACGACAAGGCAATAATATGACAGACCCCGCCTGCCCACCACAGCAGACAACATACCATATCTAGTGGTTAAACTTACAGCGCAGCATGAACATCTGCATGAGACCAACTACTCCCCAGTAATACGCACACTCCTGAAGGACCTGGAGCAGTGGATAGACAAACCCATCTCATGGCTAGGCAGACTGCACTCAGTTAAGATGAACATTCTCCCCAGATTGCTCTTCATGTTCCAGGCCTTACCCACAACGGTTAAGAGGGGTGACCTGCCCACGCTCCAAAAAGCTATAGACCGGTTCATTTGGCAAAAGAAACGCCCCAGAATAGCCAGGAAACTATTGTATCGGCCCAAGGACAGAGGGGGTCTAGCGCTGCCAAACATGTACTTATACTACATGGCAGTGCAAACGGCGCAAATAGCATACTGGCATTCCGCACCAGACACCCGACAATGGGTGGAACTCGAATCCTCCCTTATGGGGCAAGACCTACCGCAATTTTATCCCTGGTTACATTGGACACGTGGAGCACTCCCCAGGATAGCATGCCCTGCAATAACAAACTCCTTATGAATATGGGATCAAATAGCAACTTTTTGAGGTTAAGAGGTGTCAGTTTACATACAGCACACACTAACGTAGTATTCTTCCTTTCTGTATGACTAACTTGACTGAAAACAAAAAAAGTAATGTGGCTTCTGCGTAAGCCTAGATATTGCTACTAATATGCACTTCTTTTTTTGAAAAATAAAGAATTTAAAAAAAAAAATACATTACCAGATTTAGCTTATAGCTTTATAAAGAACTTAAAACTACTACACTACTCATATACTTGGAAAGCAGAATCCTATTTTGGGAATTACTATAGATGTATAATTCTATTAACCATTCTCAGAAAAAAAACACTTAAACTCTTAGACTATTCTCAGAAAAAAAACGCTTAAACTCTTAGACTATGAACATTACTTACTTTTTTAAGAAATATTCTCCAGTTCAACAATTTTTCATGTATATTGATAAGCACAATATCTCTTTTTGTAACCACTTCCTGATGTAACTCATTTTGGGATTTATGAATGCGTACACAATCAAAGCAAATCTTGTTTTTCTTGTTTTTTCTGTTATCCGAGTCTGCTATTGAGAGTGCAATAGTTTAAAATCATTCCAAATGGATTTAATCATATGTAAAAACTCTTAAAAACTTTAAAGTTGATAAACTATTTGTTTATTTGAAAAAAATCATGTCTATATATCACCCTGAAATGTTTTTAAACACTCTAATAAGTGTAATAATCCTTTGCATTTATCTCATGATGATCTTTTATTTTGATCATGTTCAATATCATGTTTTTGTTTTTTATATCTTCTATAATTTTGTACATAATACATTATGATGCAATGATTCTTACTTTATTTGACTTTGTATACCCTTAAATATATAAAGACTTGCCAATTAGAACACACATATACAAGCTAGTTTAGAAATGAAGAACCCTGCCACAGAAGGGAGCATATGTCTTTAAGAAAAAACGGATTGGCACCGCAATATCATAAAAATCATAATGGAAGGCTACCTCACTATCTTGAGAAAGCCCACTGAGCCTGGGCTAAACGCGTGGATCTGAGAAGAGGGTACTTACCAGTACCAGCAAACTTCTCCAGCGGTGTTGAATTACAGCATCCCTCCATTTTGGCTTCCAATGATTGAGGCTTGATGCACGGAACATTTACTGATTCAGCTGCTTCGACGGAGTGGTAATTCTTTATCAACACACTGCTTATCTGCTCTATACCAGACTTTCTGTGGTTAAAAAGATATCATAACCACTTTTCTTTTATTGTGTAAGAGTTTTTAAAAGGGGATTGGGGGTTTTAATCAGTTTTTCTTGTATCCTTTTAAGGGTCAAGAAAGTAACAAGTTAATTTGTAAACAAAGTATAACCCAACCTTGGTCATAACAAGGACAACACATTAAGACCACCCCAAATTCCCTATATCCGCCATTGTGGAGGTAGAAAGTGAACTCAGCACATAAAGAACAGTAATATTGAAACATACTCCCCTTGTGTACAACATTTAGGGAACAATCTCATAGCGCTGACATTTTCCTTTACAACTTTGTTATTATTGTTATTATTATTATTGTAGTGATTTCACCATGCCTGGCTGAGTCTTATAGTGTGGCTATGCCTACTAATGCCACAGACACCGCTTGGAGAAGTTAATAGTGCACTGTCTTTTTTCCACACTACAGAATGGTTAATGATGCTAAAGACTGTATGTGTGGGAAATCTTTGTACTTGTCAAGGTAGAAGTATTGAGTGGGTGGCCAATTGCTCACCGATATTTTGAACTTTAAATGACTCCAACTCCCCTTTTTTATAATACAAGATACCAAAGGAAAAACAATACATTAGAAAAATTCTCTAATTTCTACTTTTTTTTAAATCCAGATATATAATAATCTAATTTTGCCAACTCAGAATTAGAGTTGAAAAAAGAATGATATTATATTGTTTGCCTTTAGGCCAGGAAAAATTGTTCCCTTTTTTCCTGAATTATTTTCTGTGACAATTTTTTTTTTCTGTCAAAGTGCTTTCGAAGAACTGAAATATTTTACCCAGCACAAGTTTAATGTTAATGTCCATTTAGATACTACTAATAGCCCTACCACTAGAGCCCGAAAATTCATTTTTTTGGATGGTTTCAAAAAGAAAATCCTGTTATTGACAGATATATTACAATTAATCCTAGAATACTAGCCAAACAGTAGAAGTAACTAATGCAACTTGGGTGGGCATACATGCCACATTGAACCACAATCCCTGTTAGTATATCACCACCTACCCCTTCACCCAGTTAAGAGTAAGGGTGATTTGCTGGGACTCAAAATATGTAAATTCTTCTCTCTACATTATGCACATGGATCAACTACTTGGCCACGTAGATAATAGTGAGGTCCGGAGGAATCTAATAGATGGGGTTAAAAGAGTCAATTGTCTTTTTCATTATATGTTGGGCCCCAGACATGATCTTTCACAGGTTTCATTAAAATAATTAAACAACTGCTTTAAGCAACACATCTTTCTCCAAGTACTATGCAATCTCTGCATTTGTGCCTTTTAATGTATTGAAAGTAGTTTGTTACATTATGTTATACTAAGCAAAACAGTGCACTAATGTGATACTGAATATCATTTATATCATTTGACTTCTGAGCACAACTAATTTTATAACATGTCAGGAGGCGAGTATTTGCTTAAGTCTCTCTTTACTAGAATTCCACAGCAGAACATTAACACAGAGAAAAAACAACCAATCAGTAGAAAGTTACAATAAAAATAGGTACAATAAAACTCCCCTCTACACACATAACTTCCTCTTTGTTTGCTCCACATCAGTACAGGTCAAAGTACCACTGCCTCCTACTCTTGTGGGTGGCTGTGGAATGTCATCTAACTTTACTTTTTTTAGTCTATTGCTAGATTGCTTGTTGATTATTTGGGGGTATTGTTTTTGTCTTTATCTATTCAGTTTTTCTCCCTGCCATATTCTGTTTTCCTGTTACTGCCACTCTGGGGTTCTTTGGCTTGCCTATTCAACTTTTACTCCATCTATTCCTTTCCTGATGCAGTTTACATTTTTCCTATATCCTGGTGTGCATGCAGTATTAGGGTTAGTTTTATATCTCTGCCATCCTACTTTGTTTTTTCCCCGTTGTGGTTTCTTTCACTGCGTGGGAGTCTTGAGAGGCTCTCTCTTAGCTGCCTTCCACAACTTCCCAAGCACCGGGATGCTGGGTTTATCTCCGGCGGTCCCACGTGTTTGCTTGTGGCCTCCTGGGACCTCGTGCTATTGTGCAAGATCCCGGCGACCGGAGCCTCTCTCCCCTACCCACCCGGCACTCCACCGAGCTGCGGCTGGCATTTGCCACAGACCGTGTGCATCCAGAGTGGACAGGGAGAGCGTGGGTGTTTCTGTCCCCCCGGTGGGGGTCCTTCCCAGTGGGGAGTGCGGCCCTTTGGGTATCCCCTCATAGGATGCAGGGACGCCGCGTGAGGCGGGTACTGGCTCCCAGGCACTTGTAGATTTTTCTCTGGTTTAGGGCTTTCTGGCATATGCTTGATGTAACTATCTCCGCCCAGGCACCTCTGAGCTGTGGGTTCAAGTCCTGAGACAGTCTTCATGTCTCTCCAAGAAGGATATCATGAATTGGGTACTACCCTCAAGGATACATATGTGACAGCATAACAACGCCAACCCCTAGTGGATAAATTCTTATTTATGCTGCAGTACCTTTATAGTCTGGAGCCTGTCTCATTTTTTATTTATTTTTTCTGCATTTCCTAACCAACATGAAAATCTGTTTTACATTCTCTCTCCCAGGGACACAGGATTCTTGCATGTCCCTGTCAGGTTAGGGCCTACTCATGCAGCCTGTATACTGCTCCTTATGCCTTGGCGTTCCTTCCCGGCACGGTGTTTCTCTAATTTCCTTTTTTCAAATTTGTTTCCTGTCTGTCCGTAGCTACATAGCCGAATCCCCTTGTTTTATATAGTCTGGTGTACTTATTTATTATTTTCTTTTTGCTTTCCTTTTTTCACAGATTTACTTATGTATGTGCTTTCCCTTTTTTTTCCAACTGTATTTTAGTTTTCTGTCTTATTTTGTTTGGCATCTTTCGGTTTTCCTTCTGCTCAGGTGTCGAGAGGCCACACCTCTGGCCTCCAACGACCCCGGGCTCTTGAGGACCGTGGAGAACGTCTCCAGCGCCTCCTCAGGTACTGGCGGCCATCTTGGATACCTCTCAAATGCGCGAGATCCCGGCTGCCATGTTTCACTATATTGGGTTACAAACTATTGCAACCATGCACTGAACTTGGTATCGGAGGGTGACCCCCTCTCAAGATCTCAGCCCGATACTGCTATTGACTATGATTTCATAACTAGAGGGTGAACCCTCTAAGATGCTCAGCACGACGTTGTCACTGCTACCAATGCCATCATTAGAGGGTGAGCCCCCTCATAAACTCAGCCTGCTGCTGATATGGCTACTTATTACATTATTAGAGGGTGTAGCCCTCACATTGACTCAGCCTGCTGCTGGTATGGATCTGATTATAGTATTAGGGGGTGCGGCCCTCTCATAAACTCAGCCGGATGCTGATATGGATACTTATTACATTATTCGAGGGTGAAGCCCTCGCATTAACTCAGCCTGCTGCTGTTATGATTACTTATTACATTATTAGAGGATGCAGCCCTCGCATTAACTCAGCCTACTACTGATATGGATACTGGTTGTATTTTTAGAGGGTGCAGACCTCGCCTTAACTCAGCCTGCTGAAATGGATACTGATTATAGTATTAGGGGGTGCAGCCCTCTCATAAACTCAGCCGGATGCTGGTATGGAGACGTATGCATTATTGGAGGGTGCGGCCCTCTCACAAATGTAGCCGCTGTTGATATCGATACTAATCTCTCTATCCAATGTGGATATTTATCCTGGTTACTGTCAGACTTCGCCTATCCTACAGGTTTTTACCAGAACAGGATCTGCTAGCTTATTGGAGGGAAAACCTCTTCATGAACTCAGCCCACTATTGATATTTATTCTAAATGCTGTGGTTTTACCGCTGAGGTTACAGCTCTTACAGTGCATATCGCTGCTTTCCTCACCAATTGACCTGCGTGGCCCAGGCCACTCTACTCCCTGGCAGGACATACCCTCTGAGATATTACAGGGGAGAACCTCCCACCAGATTCTAATTTTCCCTGGTACCCTATTGGGCAAGGTACAGACTGTCTATATATCATTTTATAACAGGCATTGCAGTGAGCAGGCAATCTCACTATGCTATTATTATTTTTGCCGTTATGGACAACCTCCTCAGGCAGCCTCTCCTATCGGAAGAAGTGGGAGATTCTGATGCCTTCAAGAGCAGACGTGCACTATCTCGCAAGCACTAATGGAACGGGGTAGACTCACATCCCCAGGTCTGCAAGTATTGGTACATGCTAGGCACGGGAACAGACTGGAGCCCAGGGCAATACTGTGTTTCCTACCCATTAGCTAATTTGGGGGAAGTGATGGGAGGACCTCTGAAGACAGAGATGGGGAACAGGATTCGGTTGTGGAGGACCCTCCCGCTGCATGCAGTCACTCACAAAAACCGTCCTAGATTCCCCTTCTGCCCTCCCACCCATTGAGGGTACCGGCAATGATAGCCGTCTGGATTTGATAGGTATACCCCACTTTGGTCCTCACCCCATTTCATCACCTCAGGTCATCGACAACTGGCCCCTGCTCATTCGACCTTCTATGGGACTCGTAGTTCACAAAACCAGGAAGCGCATGAATGATTGCAAGCGGCGTACCCCAGATCATTACTACCCGATTAGGTCACAACGACCCCAGAGGTCAACATCGAGACCGGCACGGACTTCTCGAGGTCGGGGCGTGGCTCTTCGATAAGGTATCGATCAAGGACTGAGTCTGCTCAGTTAGCCGTCAGACGTTTTTGAACTCGGCCCGGATTCTGCCTCGGAAGGATGATGCCCTTTCACAAACTGCCCACCAGATACATCTGTTGTTTGAGAAGGTGCCTATATGCATACTAGGCATAGCTGAAATGTCACTGTGCACTGAAGGAAGATAGCTGTTTTCTCTTCGTATTGATACCGGGATTTCAGACCTCGAGTTCATAGAACTGGGTCCCTGGGCCGAGGGCCTATTCTGGTGGGTAACAATCTTCAGAACTCATGGAACATGGACAAATTCAGTTTCTCATTTTTCTGCTACAGCTCCGTCCTTCTAGTTCGGATGTTGTCGGATGTATTTACACACTGCCATAAACCTCCAATTTCTGTATGCTCCTGCTTCATTTACCCACATTTGCTACACCCCGTGGAACGACCGACCACATCTGGTCCACCTGTATACTCCTCGGCTCAAATTCGATTCTTTGTGTTCAATCAAGCGGCTAAGATCAATGACGGCTCATCTTCGTGTATAAAGGTCCCCATTACTTCATGAATCTGGACTGCTTATCACTCTTCTGTGATGGCGCCTACGGACACAAATCTCAACCTCTGTTTATGCTCCTCTAGTTCGTACCTCAAGGCTTCACAGTCTACCTAGGAAGTCGAACCTCACCCCTCCTCTCGAGTGAGGTTTTTGGGTTTTTCATTGAGGCACCCTTAGGAATATTTGTCTACCACAGTCATGGGTTCCTCAAATCACTACGAGTACTGGAGACATCTGGGGTGTGATTGGGTGCCCTCCGCATACTTGCCCGTGTGGTAGATCTTTTCTCGAATGAAAACCACGCAATGAGTTGATCAAGGGGGTACGGATGGGCTCCATTCGGTCATGGCCCATCCTTTATCGTGGACTCAGATGTGAATCTTGAGGTTGGGAATCTACAGGCACGACTCTTGGATGATCGGAGAAGCCGCCTTCTACATCAAGAATCAATTACAGATGGAAGTTTATTTCGCAAATGCCCATGCCCAACAGTGCACTTCTAACTACTGCGTCTAGATGTGTATGGATTAGGTGTCGACATTACTATTCCTGGACCGTTTTGACGGAGCCAGGTCACAGTTTCCCAAGTACAGCGCATTTATCTAGGGGTTGAGTTTTTGTCCACACTTTGAGGATCATCAACGGATTATTTGCCAGCGTCACAAGCATCGTTATGTTGTCTGAGCGTTAAAATAGCAAATAGGAAGCCTCCTGTCATGTTATAAAATTGTAGATTATAGTAGCTTTAGTGTACCTATAATCTTCATTTTATTAATGACAGAAGGCGAATATTTCCCTCTCATTTTTTCATCCCTCCCTTGTTTGGTTTGTTTCCAGTAGTTTGGGTTATCAGGTATGTATGCAACTCTGCTTGTTCTTCTGGCTCCCTGTCACTGGTTCCTGTTACCACTTCTTACTTAAGGTTGGAATCTCTGTATATTTATATTTATTTATTGTACCTAACTTTTTTCTGGTTGGTTGTTTTTTCTCTGTGTTAATGTGCTGCTGTGGAGTTCTAGTAAAGAGAGACTTAAGCAAATTCTCACCTCCTGTCATTAATAAAATTAAGATTATAGGTACACTAAAGCTAGTATAATATACAATTTTATGAAATAGTCATTTTTTTCTAAAATACTCTGTTACTGTTAGATCTGAACTTCTGTACAAAGAGATATTTTAATTAGTATTGTCTATGACATATCGGCATAGCCTTTATATTTGCAGCCCTTTTTGGGCATACATTTTGTGTAGTGGGTTTTATTTTAGATTCATAAAGTGCAATGGTAAATACAAATAGTAAAATATTTAAGACAGATCTCAGATAGGGAATGAAAAACATATGCCATTCACTTACAATAAATCAGTAATCAAATAGACACTTTACAGTTGACTTGCTAAATACATAATCAACAGAAAAGCATGTATTTAATCTGCTATGAAGTTTTATCTTCGTAGTTTTTATCAGAGAATTTTGTCAATAAATCATAGTACTACATTTGGATTTGAGTGGCAGAACATTAAAATAACCAAATCCCCCACTGTGGTTGATTTAAATTGGACTCTATAAAAGCACAAATTCAAATTACAAACTGCAGACTCAGTGACTCCAGTTTAGCTCCTCATTATGTTTTGTGATCCTTACTTCCAAAATAAAATAACTGCATAGTAGATATCATTCACTTTTGATACATGATACAAAGTTTGAATAACTTTCAATGCTTTATGTTTCTACAAAAAGTTTCCTAAAGGAACACTCCACTCCCCAAATAAAAAAAAAAACATTTAGTAAATATACCCTAAAATTAAAAATGCATGCAAGTAATTATGCTTTTTTTTTCCATTGGGGGAATATCTTTGCAAACCCTCCCCCCCCCTCCCCCCCCTTTGCCAGCTCAGACATTCTGTGGCTGTCCAATCACAGATTTTCCAATTCAGCTCAATAAGAAATCTTTGTAAGTCAAGTGCTCTGAGCAGTTGCTTGCCTCTTAAATTTAGCTCCATTGAGCTAAACAACCAGGAAGTAAAGGGACATTTTCTGATTGACAGCCAGCGGGGTGTAACAAGGTCAATTTATAAATATTTACATTTCTGTTGAAATCTGCACGTTTTGTAAAGTTTTAAAAAAAGATGTCCCACTGTTCACGCATAAATCATTTCAACAAGCTAATGTTATAAGTGTGTGGAGCATTCCTTAAATTTAAAAACATGCAGACATCATGCAGACAGAACATAGACAGCATCTATAACAAGCAGCTTAGGGAGATCCTAGAATACCTCCATGATGGAAATTACAGCCTTGTTTTTTTTTTGTTTTTTTTTTATTATTATTAAAAAGGCTGTCTGGATCAACTTAGCTTTTATCAGATAATAAATACACTATGGTTGCTCACAGAATAGTATCTCAGGTTTGATGAATATACTTTGAGATGACCCTTCAAATCAAGCTGTTTACTGTGGGTTAATTACAAACATCCCAAAAGTTCTGTATCCAGTAGGATAGGTCCTCAAAATTGGGACTGCATCTAAGAAGATTGGGGTATTACCCCCATTAGATGCACTTTTGCTTGAATGATGTCAGGGTGCTAAAACCATGCATAGAGAATCAGCAGTGTTCTGTTTGTGGCCTGCCCTGTGTGGGGCCAGCTGGGAAGGCTGACAGCCTTGCATGCATTCATGTCTGACTAATTTGCCCTGTCTTTGGGAAACACCATATCCTTTTCCAGGTGGAACAGTCCATACTATGTCCATACATCAAAGGCATTGCCCCATAGGCCCATTCACCCCAGTTCCAATGTAATACTTCATAATGTATGGAAGTGTTCTGTATCATAAATAAACTCACCAACTAGGTTAGTGAATTTAGCTATCAGACTGTTGTTTCTGAATAATATATATATATATAAATATATTTCTCTAGTCCTATAGAACACTACCCTGCAGTGTTCCAGGTGAATGTAACACAACTGCTTCACAGTCTATTGGGTAAATACTTTGAATTTGTAGGATAAATTTGTATCGGGTGTTTTATTGAGGGGCAGAGGTGGATGAGATGGGTCAGCAGTAATTTGTTAGTTAATTTCAAACTGTAAGCAAATTAATATTAAAAATATGTAAAAGACAGACATCATGGTATTGATTCTTCAGGTGAAGCTTATGGTAGATATTAACCTGTTCACAACCAATATCTTTAACTTTGAAATAAAAGAGCATGTATTTAAATGGGGTACATGATATGCTTGCCGATAACCACTGGATAAAAAAAGCAATGTATTACACACTATGTCACTATATATGCAGCCTTTTCATTTTGGACTTTCATAAAAATCCTGGTTTTGCAATGTGCTTTTCTTTATAGCATATTTCTCTGTAATGTTTGCAAAAGAGGTAACACACTTTCATTCTATCTATCTATGTATCTATCTATGTATCTATCTATCTATCTATCTATCTATCTATCTATCTATCGATCGATCTACCCCTTTAAATATGTAGTCAGTTGTGAATGTGGTTATGGAAAAATGTAAAGGGTTACATCAACATAGATTAATTAAATATAGAGTGAACCTCACTTAACCCTCAAATTATTTAAACGGACAAAGGACCTTCTAAGTTATTTAGTTAAGCAATACCTATCTTTTTTCATTTACAAATGCTCCGAAGGGCACTGTGGGTTGATCCTAAAAGTAGATGTATTAATTTGTGTATGGCCTAAGGCACTCATGACCTCTTACTATATCTGTGAAATAACATTAGCAGCAGGAATTTTCCTGCTACTTGAAATAAAGCAAGTTTCAGATCTGTTAAATAAAAAGAAAACAACTCTGTTCCAAACACCAAGGGAAGCCCCTTATAGTTATTTCTACTAAAGGTTACATAAATATTTTATTTAAAGAAAAAAGCACCAGGGTTGGGGATATTATGTGAGTTTTCCTATTCACCGTATTTGTTACCATCTAGTTTTATAGAGTACAAAGAAACAAAAAGAATGAAAGAAAGAACGGGACATCAATGTAATGAGTTAGTAGAAAAATCACTTTCCAGTAAGTTAGATATTTCTAGGATCAATTAACTTGACAGTTCTCGAGAAAGTTTGCCTATGGTTAAATTATTATTATTGTTGTTTTGACATCGAACCAGCATTGTGCAGCTCTATAAATAGACTTACGATTCATGCAAAAAGGTCATCCAAAAAGGACATAGGTTATGATAGCCCTACCTTTACAGTTCAAAAGGAATAGTGCATAAACACACACAAACAACATGTATTATTATTATTAGTAGTAGTATTTATAATATCTTTTACATAGGGCCATCTTGTGAGCCCATCAGGTAATTGCTATGTGCTGACCAATTATCAATCTTTCCAAAACATTTTTTATCTAGAAAGATCTACTTAACAACCTAATCCTCTTTGCTGAACATAGTGAATTTTGCTGCAAGACTCATTA